TTGATTACTTAAGTTAACCTAGTCTTCTCAATATTAAAAAAGCTAAGTTTTTCTCAGAACTATGTAACCTTCTACCTTTGCCTGTGAGGTCTTTAATTGTCACTGTGGTTAAATAGATAATTAAGCAATGTTTCACAGTGACCTGTGATCCTATTGGACCAAGTGTTTTAAAACCTTTGGATATCTTTGACAAACTTCCTAAAACCAAATTCTAAATGAACTCCTTTTGACTTCGAGCTAACTTTGGGATTTTTCAGAGGGTCCCTGAAACATCTCAAAGAGAGATATTAAACTAATTTGGCTTATTTAGTATCTTAAATTGCATGCGAAGCATTGTCAAATAGGCGATGCTAAACCTTCTTTGATTATATTTGTGTAGATATGTGCTTATAATTTTTATGACTTTGTGTTTAAAATATTGATGATTCTTTTTTTTTCCCCCCAGACATAAGGAAACCTTTCTTCTTTAGCTAAACTATGACTTACAGCAATTTGTTAAATTATTATAAATTTGGTAAATTCTATCTTTGTAAACAAATCTGAAAACATTTACTTTTTCTCCCTACCTGAACCCTCCAGAATTCAGAAACTCTTAAGTATTCTTTTCATGGCAATATAGTTAGTTATTTGTATAAGTTCAATAAGAATCCATTCTCCTTGTAAGAGTACATAATGGGAAACAAGGGTTTTCTTATGTCCTTTGGGACCCCAATCAAAAACTGGGCAACATGTAAACAATCTTATTACTGCTATTCTCCAACCTTCTGAAATTGCTGTCATAAAAATTGAGGCTAACACTAAAAGGACTGAATCTGAGTATCAGGAAAATGCCCTTGCTGACTTTCATGCAAAGGCACCAGCAACAGAATCTATTAAGATTGTGGTACATGTGGCTGAAGTCCATTCTGCTTCTGCAAAAAAATAGCCCCTCATTACCAGACATTTGCCATCCTGATGTCCCTGTAACATGGCAACAGTTTGCTCCTGAATCAGAGAAATTAAGATGGGTAAACAATGGCTATAAATTAAATGAACAATCAGGGCTATGGGAAACCCAAGACAGCTGCTTGGTTCTTCCCAGCTCCCTGGCAAACACCATTTTTTGGTTTTTGCATTTCTTCATTCACCATAGTACACTTAAAGATGACTCAAACTACAAATAGTTATTGGTGGGGAGACTCCTATAAAATTGCAAAAACAGTCTACCAGCAATGTCTTACCTGCTAGGTCCATAATCCTAAAAAAACTATTTTTGTCCCCAGAGGCCTCAAAACTCCTCCCTCTGGACCCTTTGAACACCTGCAGCTGGACTTCTTTCAACTGCCACTTAGTATGGGTTATCAATATGTTCTTGTTATTATATGTATGTTTTCTGGATGGGTTTAAGCCTCTCCTTTCCACAAGGCTGATGATCTCACAGTGGGAAAGAAACTGTTAGAAAATGTGTTTCCCACTGGGGGCATACTTTCCCTAATCTCCAGTGACCAAGGTGCTCACTTCACTGGGCAAATCGTATGAGCCCTAACGAAAACTTTGCAAACTTCTTGGAATTACCCATGTCTCTATCACTGTCAATCATCAGGCAAGGCTGAGAGAACTCACAGGATCTCCAAAATTTCTAAATGTGCCGAAGCTACTGGACTCCCCTGGCCTAAGGTATTGCCTTTGGTCTTGCTGACTGTTCACAGTACCCACCCCCCTACTCCCCGCTTTGGGAAACATAAACTCACTCCACACAAAACAGTCACCAGCAGACCAATGTCAATTGGTATACAACCTTCTGCTGATCCCTTGTTGTCTCATGCTAGTATGATCAGCTACTGTAAGTCTTTAACGTCTTACGTTCAAGCCTATCATCAACAGGTTAAAGAAGCTTTTCTGGATCCCAGTTCAAAAGATCCTGCTGGTTACATTCTAGAACCTGGTGACTGGGTATTCTGGAAATGTCATCAGAGGAAGGCAGCCCTCGAGCCCCATTGGAAGAGACCTTACCAAATGCTCCTGACCACTGACACTGCTGCAAAACCAGAAGGCACTGAGCCCTGGATACACATCTTACAGCTAAAGAAGGCTCCACTTGACATCTGGTCCTGTACAGACGCTGGGAATCTCTGAATCAAATTGACGAGGAAGAGAAGTAGCTGACATTGAGGTAGACTGCTTCCGTCCAAGATGACAGATCAAGACTTCATACTTGAACTGAACATGAAACTCTTTCTTCTTTTCTTTTCTTTCTTTTCTCTCTCTTTCTCTTTTTCCTCTGACATTGGCCTGGAAAGGTAATGCCCTTTCTTCACCCCCACATTCCCATAGTTATCTAGATCAGATTTGTCCCTACTAGGAAATCTTGCCAGCAGTACCCATCTTTGCAAGGCATTTAGGGTGACTCTTTATTTCAAGCTAGGAAATTCTCTTCTCACATGTGCTAAAAACCTGACTGACCCCTGGCTTGAATGGGCAAATGCAACAATTCCTATGAATGAATCCATTAACAGTGCCACTTTATTGGAAGTGGTTTGGGTCCCAACAAGATTTATCTCTGTCAGTGGTGGTTATCACTCTCCTTGGGGCTATGAATGCCTAGACGGCTGGCATACACGTGGGTAATGCATCTTAGGTATCTAACTGTGCCCCTAACTGTTCTAGAAAGGACCTACCAGGAGGCTTTCATGATACAGAATTCACTTCCTTTGGTAGGGCCCTAATTCCCTAGTTAGGAATAGATACAAATGGGAATATAAAAGAGACTTCTCCTTAACTCCTGAAGACATTGCAGATTCCGTTGCTAAGACTATAGCTGCCCAACAAAAATCCTTAGACTCTCTGGCCAAAGTTGTTGTTGATAATAAAATAGACCTTAATTATCTTTTAGCTGAGTGAGGAGGTGTCTGTCCTATGGCCAACACCATCTGCTGTACCTGGATCAATACTCCTGGAGAAGTTGAAATTCAGTTACATAACATCACCGAGCAAGCCACTTAGTTTAAAAGGATGATTCCTTCAAAGCGTCTTTGACTCATTTGATTTCTTTGGTCTGGATCTTGGGGACTGTGGGAGATCAGAATTTGCCACCCCAAAATGTGTCTTTGGCTTGATTACTTTTTAAGAACAAAAGACTCAGGAAGAAACTTTGACCTTCCCTCTAACTGCCTAAAAGAATTTAAGATGAAAGTCTTGTTCAAGGAAGGAGATAATACTATAAGATAACTAGAGTATAATATAGACTAGGTGTGATAGGGAGGAACCTAGCAGGGGGCCATTTAATCAAACTCCTCTCCGTCATTGTCCCTGCAAGGCATAGTCAACATTTGTTTACCAAACATTTGCTTTTCCATCTCCATGTGAATTGTCTTCCTCCCCTTTGAAGTCCCAAATCACAACCCCCAACATTCTCCTTTGTCTTTAGCTAAAGATGGTATTGAAGGTAGTGGCTTTGGCCACTTTGGCGAGTTACTCAATTTTTCTGGGTTTCTCCCATGTATACATGTTATTAAATTTGTTTGATTTTCTCCTGTTATTCTGTCTCATGTCAATTTAATTCTTAGACCAGCCAGAAGAACCTAGAGGGCAGAGGTTCTCCCCTATTGAACAATGGCTTCAACTTACACTCCAAACATTGAGAATTATCCTGCTTATAGTCTCCCTGGTACATTGTATCCTCTCAAAAGCTTTAATTCCATGTTTGCAGCCACTGACCACCGGGGAAATGATCTCCCTAAGACTAGAATGTCAAAAAAGAAGTGAAGAAGATGGCCAACCTAAAGATTGTGAACCTGAAGCTGTGACTTGTGAGTGTCAGAGAAATTAAGCAAAAATATCATGCTTGTGAATATTACACAGAGGATCAGAAAAAGCCCTGAAAACTACAAAATGGTAGCTGAGAATGGCACTAATGTCTTAAATTTTGATCACATCTCTCAGACAAGCTGAGAGTCTGATCAAAAAGGGGAAATTGTTAAAGAGAAAACCACAGGCCCAAAATGGTGTCACTTGTGCTAAAGCCCATGATAACCAAGCCTAGATTTAATACCTAACCTAATTGCAGTTTTGACCTTCCCCAGAAAAGTAATCTTCATCAACCAGTCTGGAATTTTCTGGTCAGTACCAGTGAGATAATCTGTCATGTGGGCCCTCCCTTCTCCCCCAGAGGAAGAAGAGGCCATCTGAATGACAAAACCCTTCCCCCAAAAGAGAAGCTGTCCTGGCCCAATATAATCCTTTCTTTTCTTTTGCTAATAACTTCCTTGCCCCACCCACCTTCCTGTAAAAACCTTCCATTTTGTATAACTCCTCAGAGTGTCTCTCTACTTGCTAGACAGGATGCTGCCCCATTCATGAATTATTGAATAAAGCCAATTAAGATCTTCAAATTTATTTGGCTGAAATTTTGTTTTTAACAAATGAAATCTCTTCAAACTAGCAACCAACTCTGGTTCATAAGGAGATTCAAAAGCCAATGCTCAAGTTCATTTTAAATGAAGCACTCATTTTGAAGTAAGAATCTAAGTTCAACCTTTAATTTAGATGTTTTTTCATTCAGGCTAAAAATTTTATTTCTCATATTACTATCAAAAGTGATACAACCAAAGGTAAGAAACTCTTTTATATAAATAAAAGGAGAATAATTCCTATATGGCAGGACACTAACCTAAATACTTTAAGTACACATTTTCTATATGTTATTAGTTCACAAAGAATTTGGTTTAAAAACTAGAAAACATGTTTATGGCAATGATATAAAAGATTGAGCCATGTCAAAAAGCATGATTTAATAATTAAAATACATCACTTATAGCAGCCTATTCAATTTACTCACTTCAAATACACTAATATCCTATCATTGCAAAGTTCTGTAAGTTAAATTAATTGTAAAGTTCTACCAATTTAAAGATATTTTAAAAATTCAATATTAAACATTTAAAAATAATTAAGTGAACTATTTACTGAATGGCTTTTATATGTGCTCTATATTCATAAATTTAGAAAATAGAAAGACTTACCATTAACAGCTTTTTCATAATTTTTTCCTAGGTTTATTAAATTTCGTAGCCCAGGATTGAACTGTTCCACAACATTCTGACAAACAAACAAAACAAACAAATTAATAAAGTAAGCGAACGGGAGACCAAGTAATCTTTATATTTTGTCACTGCATAGCCTGGGATACCTATGTATGCTTGAGAGTGCAGTCTACAAAGTCACGAATGTTTACTTAAAAATAATGAACAGCACATATTTCCTTACGGATGGAATGGGGTGCTTGCACTGGTAAGGCCTACGTAACCCTGGCAGTTCTCCAGTTGCCCAAGGGTTGCCTAGAACCTGTTGTAAACGGAGCAAGTAGCAGACATGCCAGTCTCTACAAAGCATACCCTGAAGGAGCTGTGGGCCCAGAAGCTGATGCTCCCTTTTGGGTTTAAGTAGGTTAATGGCTATTATTATAGTGTTAAGAAACAGGTGTGCATGATCAGAACTTAATTATATGGCAGTGTTTTGGCTATCAATCGAACAGAAATTTCCAAGAGATTTTGTGTCTACTATGTCTAATTACCAGGACAGGGTATGGGGATGTGTGCTGCTGATAGTTCTAGGACACAGGCCAGCCTGGAACCTTGTTTCTAGGTGGTCACTGGCATTTTTTCCCTAGTGATAAGTTTATTCATCTATTTATGGCGTAACTACCGTATGCTAGGTCCTGTGCACACAGTAGTGGATGGGAAGACGTGTCCCCCTCATGGATTTCATGATGCCATATCTCTGCAGATGTCATGGTTTTCATTTTTAAAAGTGTCATTCCTATATCACCAGAAAGTCATAAACATAGAAACAAATGCTATGACAAGTATAAGACAGGCAATAAATTTAAAATATCCTAAATCTGAAGTACAGACAAGAAATCATTCCTATGGGGCTCTGATTTCTTGACTTAGAATACATGGTGACTAAATATATTTGTTCCACCTACAAACAACAATCTTCACAATATTAATCATTCCAGAGAGACCACTCAAGTCTCTCTATCCCCTCTCCCAAAATGTGTACCCTGTTTGTAAACAACCAGGCAACAAAAAGAATGAAAAATGACACAACATTCAAAGGGGCAGATACTTGACACACATGCTCTTTGGGATAAAAAGGTTCTCCATGATAAGTTAATAGAGAGAATGTAATAACTTTTATTTTATCAAACAGTGATAAAGGCTTGTTATGGAAAACAACCCCTGCCTCAACCATTCCCCATCCCTGGCCTTACTCCCAAGAGTACTTTCAACTAAGTTTGTATTTATTACCACAGCTCTGAATCACAATCTTGATTTCTCAATTTTGGACAGTAACTACTGGCTTTCTGCTACAGTAGACGAGGACTTAGCTCTCCACATCACACCAGTTTCCCTTCCCCAATCCTTCCTATATAATTAAATGGCAATTTCCTGGTAATTCAATAGTCAGGGTCTATTATGACTTTGTAAATACTGGCCTTTACAATGCAAGGAATGTACTAAGGATTATGTTTCCTTTCTTGGTACAGTCTTTTTTGTTTCCCCTGGGATTAACAAATATCGCATTCCACCCCGACTGCCCCGAGGCTTAGTTTTCTATGTATCTAAAATTCTTCCACACGCTCCACCAGATCTAGCAGAAGACTATAATATTACTTTTCAAACATACAAAGTTGTCAGCTAATATTCCATTCCATTTTCCCCCCTGAACTTTCTCCAAGTACTCTTCGTCCTCAGTCTGGCTCTTGCTCAGTCTGGCCTGACTGTCCCTGCCACACTGTTGCCCTTGCGTGTCCTTTCTGGTCCCCTGTGGTAGAGGTCTCATTAACTGGACTCCACATCTTCCTCTTTCTTCATTCATTCCTATTTGCTGGAGATCATTCTCCAAGAATGATCTAAGAAATGATGCATTAGAGGTAAATCTGAATCCCCAAGTTTCTGAAATTATCTTTACCTTGACATTTGATTGTTATTTTGCTGGGTAGAATGTTATAGCTTGAAAGTGATTTTAAAGATATTGCTCCACTATCTTCATCCTTAATATTCAGTTTTGCTATTGAGAAGTCAGCAGTCATTTCTTCTTCCTTTGTATGTGGCTTTTTTTTTTTTTTTTTTTGGCTTGTTTATTTCTGGAAGCCTTCTCTTTATCCCTGTGTTCTCAAACTATATAATGGTCTGTTTCAGTGCAAGTACTTTATTCATTTACTTTACTAGGCACTCAACAGATCCTATCCACATAGAAAATTATGTCCTTCAGGTCTGAAAAATGTTGCTGTTTTGTTTCTGTTTCTTCATTCTTTCTGGAACTGTGATGAGAATTTCACACATTCTGGATTTATTCCCTAATCATTTTACCTTTTTTCTCTATTTTTCCACTTTTTGTTCTACATCTCTGACAGATATCCTCAACTTTACATTCCAAATCTTCTATTATGTTTTAAAAACTTTTGATATCATATTTTTAACTTGGGATCTTTCAAGTTTTTGGATTATTCCTTTTTAAAAGCATCCTGTTCTTGTTTTATTGATGCAATATCATCTCTTCCCTAAATAAATTAATTGTAGTTTTTTGGCATTTTCTTCCAGTTCTCCATATTTTCTCCTGATTATTTCTTCTCATTGCTTGGTATCTATCTGTCTTTTGTGTTGGAGGCTTTCCTCAAATGTCTGGTGATCCTTGATCGTCTGTTCATATTTAGGAATAAGGCCCTAAAACGCTGGCTGGAAGCTTGTGGGTGTGTATACGAGTGGTTTTTGACTAGCAGGCTTCATTCAGAGTGACTGGACAGCAAGTCAGCTGTAGAGAAACCCGCTACATGACAGTAACCAGGGCCACTGGGTTTCTCCAGAGAAGTTTCTAATTTCCTGTAGTTGGGTGGGGTGAGGGGGCAATCACCAGGTGGTTGGCTTTCCCATCTGGGAAGGGAGTTGAGAATCCCACAGTTTATTGAGCTGATTTTTACTGAATTCCCCTGTTTTCAGCTCTGAGCTTTACCCCCACCCACCCCTGGGTAGTGTTTCCAAGCCAAGAGCTTCTCTGATTCAATGTATCCTGAGATTAAATCTCCAGTCTGCCAGGCAGAGGGAGCTGCTGGCAGTAGTGGTGGTTGGGGTAACAAAGGGAACCTGGCAGTTTAAGCACCTTGCATAACTCCTATTCTAGCTCCATGTCTCCCCTCCGTCCCTGCCTTCTGTGGGGCCTGCTCCTTAGCCTTTGGAGTTCTCTGGGGTGAATGGCTGAGTTCTCATCAGTACTTCTCATCAGTGGTAACTCCTCTTAAGACAGTTACCAGTCCTCTGTCCATTTTCTATCACCTCAAATTTCTTCAGGCCTCTGGCAACTGATATTTCCGTTTTCAGGTCTCTACACCAAGGATTTACAGCTTTGTTGTTGTTGTTGTTGTTTTTAGTTCCTTTGCCATCATTTTAATGTATTCTTGAAAAAAAGAGAAGAACACATGAGATCAATCTGCCATGCTTAACTGGAAGTCCACTCACCCTGTATTGGGATAACAGCCAGTCAGCTGTTTGAGCCTCATTCACAACCAGTAGCCATGAAGCCCCAAAGCCATGTTGACTCCCCCACTAGTCTCTCTGCAAGACAGTAAACCTCAGTAACTGAAAACAGAGACCTGTAGCCACAGCTACTATTTCTATCATCTTTCCTCAATTCCCTTGTTTTGTTTTTAAGCTTTTTATTTTGAAATAGTTTAAGAGTCACAAGAAGTTGTAACAATTGTACAGAGAGTTCCCAAGAATGCTTCCCTCAATGATAATTTATATAACCATAGCACATTATCAAAACCAGGAAACTGACATTTGTACAACACTATTAACTAAACTACAGATCTTATTTGGATGTATCAGTTTTTATATCATTCATTTCGAGGGGAGGGTGTGCATTGTTTCTATGAAATTTTATCACATGTATAGATTTGTATAACCATCACAATTATAATACAGAACTGTTCCATTAACACAAAGATCTCCCTCATGTTACCCCTTTATAGCCACATCCACCCCACCTAACTCCTGGCAACCACTGCTCTCAATCACTATAATTTTGCCATGTGAGGATGTTATATAAATGGAATTATACAGTATGTGACCTTTTGAAATTGGCTTTTTCACTCAGCACAATGCCCTTAAGAACCATCAAAGTTGCTGGGTGTATCAATAGTTTATTCCTTTTTTTTGCTAGTAGTATCCCATAGTATGAATGTATCACAGTTTATTCATTTACCTGTTGAACATTTGAGTTGTTGCCAGTTTTTGGCAATTACAAATAAACCTGATACAGACAATCATGTATAGGTTTTGCATGAACCTAAGTGATCATATCTCTAAAATAAATACCTGGGAATTCAATTACTGTTCACATGGTAGGTGTATGTTTAACTTTATAAGAAACTGCCAAACTATTTTCCAGAGTGGCTGTACCATTTTACATTCCCATCAGCAATGTATGAGATTTCAATAATTTATTAAAATCTAACAACTTATTCGAAAATGGTTACTTTCTAATAAAAAAGTAAAATTATTTTTTTCCAAATATCGCATTTAAAATTCCTATAGTAATCTTATGAGACCAAGTCTGGATGATAAGAATATAAGTTATAATACAAAAATAAAAGTATTTTTAGGGCCGGCCCCGTGGCTTAGTGGTTAAGTGTGCGCACTCCGCTGCCGGCGGCCCGGGTTCGGATCCCGGGTGCGCACCGACGCACCGCTCCTCTGGCCATGCTGAGGCTGCGTCCCACATACAGCAACTAGAAGGATGTGCAGCTATGACAGACAACTATCTACTGGGGCTTTGGGGGAAAAATAAATAAATAAAATCTTTAAAAAAAAAAAAAAGTATTTTTAAAATATTTAAAATTCTTGTAACACTCTTATGAGGCTGAGTCTGGATGGTAAGAATACAAGGAAACCAATGCAGAGCTAACTCTGTCCTCTAGCATATAAACGGTCATAAAAAGAAGCCCAAATCTGTGTTCTTTCTTAAGATTATTCTTAGTTCAGCTTATCCAAATAAGGGGAAAATATGATCTCTTGATATAATTCTTGAAATGTTTA